AAAGCATTATTTTCTAAGCTGGTCATCTTGTAATATTTAGTGTTGTATTATGTAGCTACATGAACTTCAAAGTATTTTTAAAGGAGTTCTGTGGAGCTAAAAATGTAAAGAGAGGTTTCGGGGGATTTGTTGTTTCCTGGATTTGCTGATGTCCCACTCTGCCACATGCTCTGGTGTTGTTGCTGTCTAGTCCCATCCTGCATTTATAGATTTAGATCCTGTACACGCAGTAATGGTTAAAGAAGCCCATAGGTTTTTCTTGTTTTGTTTTTTTGTTTTTGTTTTTTTCAATTCAGAAACCTAAACAGCCAAGCATATTTTCTTTTCTTTTTATTCACAAACGGCGCTCACTTTGCAAATCATAAAACAAAATGAAGATGCCAAATGCTCATCTGAAGAGCTGTCTAAATAAGCCAAGCATTCAGATAAAGAGCTATACACCACCAGAAAATCCTGCACTCTTGTGAACTGTCATTAATGCTCATTACCCTGCTTATTTACTGTATACTGTTACACGACATTGCAGCTTCCATATTAACTTCATTAAAGGCTAAAAGATAAACATGTGTTTGCAATCATCCCCTTCCCTTGATTTCCTGCAGACTGCCCTGTATGTTGGCCATTATACATATCATGATAGAGTACTGTGGGTGCAACCCAGACTTGCCCTCTACTTGCACTTCAACTTAGACCCATTGTTTTTTTCCCCCCCCCATTATAACAGAACATTGTCCCCTTCCCGGCACATGAGAAAAGAGGGGTTTAGAGTTCTTGCTTCTGCTGCTACTGTGATTTAAATCAGACTTCTGGGTCGTTTGCACCGTAGCTCACATTCTAGCAGCGTTACTTGACAAAGCCAAATAGGTGGTCCCTGCAGTCGAGTATAAATTTGAGCTCATTTAGAGTTCTGGTTTGCAAAGGATTCAAATTCTGGTCAAGCAGTTACAGGACGGTGCTTAGCATACACAAGCACAGTGACTTGTAAAAAGATTGTTTCGTTTTATATTTTTGAAGCTCTTCTTGAGGTTACTGTATAATGATGATAATAATTTAAAAAAACAAAAAGCTTGAGAGGAAAACTCAATTCTTTTTTTCATTACAGCCAATGAACTTACATGCCACTTTCTGTCCTGCAGGTGCGGTGAAGCAGTGGAGAAGAATAAGCACCTGATTGCATCAGATCAGAAGGAGTACCAGCAGGAGCTGAAGAAGAACTACAACCGCCTGAGAGAGAACCTAAGGCCAATGCTCGAGAGGAAGATTCCCGAACTCTATAAACCCATCATCAGGCCTCGGCTGGAGAACAGGTAAACAGAGCCACCGCACCAGACGGCTTTGACAAGGGAAACGGAGGTGAGAAACACACATTGATCATTTTATCAGGCTGTGTCATCACTGAACCAAAGGGGAAGAGAGAATGAATTGATTATGTTTTTTCTAAATCAGACATCATGAGTGAGGATGGCTTTGACTGACAAACCAAGGACACTTCATGCTCAAACAATAGAGTCTTGTGGCTTAGTCACATTACAGTGAAAATACTGTAAGGCCACAACCTTCTTTGCAACTAGGAAAAATCGATGGTTGCACGGTGACTGCAGTGAACAAAACTGCGTTCGTTGCAATTAAATTGAAACTGTTGGGGTCTCCAACCACTGTTTCCCAGTATGACTGTAGCATTATTAATCACAGTCAAACTGTTTATCACCTGTTTTACTACAACACTAACCACTGAGATGATGCACTCCACCCAAAAGGGGTTCCACGGGTCAAATATGAAGCGAGCAGCATGGGTCACGATCTGGGTTTTTTTTTTTTTCGCAACCAGAAGAGTCACCCCCGTTTGAAAGAATGCATTAATGCATTTTGGTTTTGCCTTTAATTACAACTGGCAATTTCTATTTATTTTTAGATACAACGTGGATATGATTTCAGTAGGGTTACTTAATATTAGGAAGCTATTAAACTAGAATATATAAATATAACCTTGTTGTTGCTGGTTTTGTTTACTGCTATACACGTAACCACAGATGCATCGATTTATCTCCATAGTTTTTAAAAGGAGAGGGAAAAAAATATTACAAGTTGTGATAACTGTTATATCTTTCATGTAATTATCTTATATGTGACAGTGTCTAACACCCGAGCCTCGGTAAAAGAACACTAGCTAGTTGGTGTTGTGGAAAAAATATCTGCTGCTCTCGCTGTTATCTGGTAGAAATTTATGGTTAAGATTCAGGGTGTTTTTAGGTTGTGGGAAGTAAATGATTACCTTACATCTACGCACCTTCGCCTACTCACCATGACTGTTCCACCTCTTCTTCCTCATAATCATTCATTATCTTTTGTTTCTGTTTCCCCTCCCTCGTCCGCTGTCTTCTCGCAGGGATTCCTTCAAACGTCTAAGTTTCCGCAGAACTCAGGAGGAAAACTCCTGAGTGCTTCAGACAGGATGAGGAGGCTGTCACACAAGTGAGAGAAAAAGAGAAGATAAGATGAAAGAAGAGAGGGGGGGGACAAGAAAAGGAACAGCAGGAGCAGTACGCCGTGTCAACAATGGAAGACTCGCGGTTTCTCAGTGATCTGGCAATGTGTATTAATGTTGGCTGCGTGTTCACTTTTATGATGTCAGGCTGTTTGTCAGAGGAGGGAAAGGCGAGTGAGCACATACAAAAATGGATGGTGGGGTGGGAATCACCGGCAAAGTGTAGCTTATTGAGCATTTCACTGTAAAATCTTCAGTTGCTGTGTTAATTTCCATTTTTGGATAACTTCAAGTCCTCAAAATGCTGCAAACACTTCCTCTGGGTCAGTAAACTAGCTCTCTTAGGTCCTTACTAATCCCAGGCCTGGTGTGTGTGTGTGTGTGTGTGTGTGTGTACCAATAATCCTCGTGTTCTGTGTATGTACATGTATATAGATGTATGTGAATGTCTGAACGAATGTGTGTTTATTTAGATTGTGTTTAGATTAGAAGCTTTTGGTGCCATACTGAAGTCACTTTGTACTCAGTGATGATAAATGATTCTGTTATGTGCTAAAGGGCCTCTGAAATTCCACTCTGGGCGTCTTATGCATGACATGTTCCAGTGTGAGCAGTGAGTGTAGATGGATTTTTGTGCACTGGAAAAATAGGTACAGATTTATGTGTTAACAGTTGAGGCCAGCCATGTACCTGGATATGTAGCTAACAGAAAAGTTTAACTTATTAAGAGTTTCACAGGCGACAGAAAGGCTTTTAAGGCTCTAAAACACACGTGGAATACACATAAAGTGTGCATTGTGGATATATTTGAAATATTACTTCAGATAATAACAAGATGTTTACAAAGTTGTTAAAACTATTTTGCGTTGTATTTTATGGAAATGTATTTTTAGATAAAATAACAGCAATAATGATACTAATTGGAAGTATATTATTCAGTCGGTGGGATTCAGTGACTGAGTTTACTGTACAATCTCAGCGTATGTTCCAACAGTTTCAGTTGCTCTCTGTAAGTAGACCGCGCTTCCTGCAATACACACAGTGCCAAATTCAATTCCTTATGTATTTACTGTGAGTGAGGAGTAGGTGAGGAACTTCAGCAGAAATGCAATAATGTAAAAAGTCACTCCACACGGATTTACTTTGCAAATTATGTTTACTCAGTATGTGAGAACACATTCCAGTGAAGAAATTTATTACTGCTTGGAATATTAAATTGTGACAACTTGATTTTATGTGACATCATGAAACATTTCATCTAAATGATGTTATGTTGCAGGTCATGTATTGCAGTGATGTAAATGCGCCTGGAGTTTCAAAAAATGGGTGTACATGTTTGTCAATGTGATTAATGCTCATGGAAATATTTGTTTCTAGGTACATATCTTATTTATTAGCTGCTGGGTGATTTTTTTTTTTTTTTTTGTTGTTGTTGTTGTTTTTTTTGTGGGGTGGCTAAATAAAATGATAGCTATGCAGTATGCATCAGCTGTGAGCATTGATAAAAATGTATACCTATTTTTAAAACGTGTGCCACATTAGCGCTGTAAGATGTATTCATGGGATACACCCACAGAGACTGAGTTCATGTTTCATGGTTATCCTTTATGTTCGTACATATTTTTTGTTTTAATGTAGATCTTTTTCTTCCATACTGTCATACTTGCAATGCTGTTGAAGAACCTGAATAAAAATTAATATATGTCACCACTGTGTCCAATCACATTTTAATATAACTGAATTAAAATGCAAAAATACATGTATTACTAATAAGTAGACTATTTAAAGTTGTTTTTTTTTTTTTTTTTAAGGTTCCTGTTAAGAGTCTTAGCTTTTTTTTGGCGTCCTTTGTCTCAAAATAAAATAAAAATAGAACAAATAGGGGACTAAATAAAACTAAATGTTTAGAAGTAGACAAAAAAATAAAGAAACAAATAAATGCAATAATTACACTGAAGACTGAACAGGAAGTAAAACTACACACACTGGCAACTTTATTAGGTATACAGTTTCATCTGCCTGATATTAATTATTGAATTAGCCAGTCACATAGCAGCAATTGTACGCATTTAGACATGCAGACATGGTCAACACAATCTGCTTAAGTTTAAAGCGAGCATCAGAATGGGGAAGAAAGGTGACTGTGGACTTTTCACATCCGCTCCAGCTGTTCTTGCACCTGGTACTTCTCTACTTTCTCGTTCTCATTCATTCTTTTTGATATCATATATAAGAATGTATATATTAATTCTAAAAAAGCATTTTAATCGTTACTTCCGTAGTTATCATAAAAAAATAAATAACGTGCAGCGCTCGAGAGAGAGCGGGGAGGATTCAGGTGAAGGACTACAATCCGCTGCCGTCGCACTAATGTGACGACATCAACGCTCGACTCGCACAGGACGGATACAGCTTTGTTGTAGAACAAACGAGAGCTTGTGATGCTCAGCGGTATGTTACCAGCTGTTTTGTACAAATATTAGTAAATACGCTGTTTTCCACAGCGAAGCCGGTTATTTGTGGCGACACCGTCGCTGCGGTTGAACCGCAGACTGTTTAATGACAGAGACCTGTGATGGCAAGTTAGCCGAACTCCTTCATGTCAGTCAGCCAGCTTCACACTTTAGTGAATTTTAAAACTTCGGATGTTCATTTACGTCGTGCGGCGTTTGGAAACACTGAGGTGAAGACCTTCGTTTCCTGTGCTGACCGAAAGTTTCTGTTTTACGTTTTCTCACACTTTAGCCTGTGATTAAAAGAAAGGAAAACCCTGGTCGAAGTTGAGCAGTATTGTGACTTGCCTGCAAGCCCTGCTCTGCCTCCAAGAACACAACTTAATCACTTTTAACTGTGTGACAGCTATCTGGCATTCACTTCCGCCCACTGCTACATAATTCCTATACCCTTAGAGCAACACTCAAGTTTTCTTTCCTTGGTAACAGTAAACAGACACTAATTTTATTAACAAGCTGCATGAGCTTAATAAAAGAGTGGTCACATAGATCAGAGTTGGCTGTTGTTGTCCAATCTTTTACAGTTATGGAAGATATGTTTTTCTCCATCCTGTTGCTCAAGATATCATGTTTTTTTT